AATGATAATGGGAGCCCTTTGATTGGAACTTTGTATAGAAAGGGGTTTAGTATAGGTAATACATATTTTAAGAAAAAGAGGATAAGTATACAAAGATATGATGTAGGGCGAAATGACAGTAGTTTGTTGGATTATGTATTGGTAGATTTAAAGACTGTTGAGTAGACTTCAGGATGTACATGTTTATAGAGGGGCCACAGATATAACAGATCACTTTCTAGTTGTAGCTACACTGAGAGTAAAAGGTAGATGGGATACAAGGAGAATAGAAGCATCAGGGAAGAGAGAGGTGAAGGTTTATAAACTAAAAGAGGAGGCAGTAAGGGTAAGATATAAACAGCTATTGGAGGATAGATGGGCTAATGAGAGCATAGGCAATGGGGTTCGAAGAGGTATGGGGTAGGTTTAAAAATGTAGTGTTTAGAGTGTTCAGCAGAAGTTTGTGGTTACAGAAAGTGGGTGCAGGAGGGAAGAGGAGCGATTGGTGGAATGATGATGTAAAGAGAGTAGTAAGGAGAAAAAGTTAGCATATGAGAAGTTTTTACAAAGTAGAGTGATGCAAGGAGGGAAGAGTATATGGAGAAAAAGAGAGAGGTTAAGAGAGTGGTGAAGCAATGTAAAAAGAGAGCAAATGAGAGAGTGGGTGAGATGTTATCAACAAATTTTGTTGAAAATAAGAAAAAGTTTTGGAGTGAGATTAACAAGTTAAGAAAGCCTAGAGAACAAATGGATTTGTCAGTTAAAAATAGGAGAGGAGAGTTATTAAATGGAGAGTTAGAGGTATTGGGAAGATGGAGGGAATATTTTGAGGAATTGTTAAATGTTGATGAAGATAGGAAGCTGTGATTTCGTGTATAGGGCAAGGAGGAATAACATCTTGTAGGAGTGAGGAAGAGCCAGTTGTGAGTGTGGGGGAAGTTCGTGAGGCAGTAGGTAAAATGAAAGGGGGCAAGGCAGCTGGGATGATGGGATAAAGATAGAAATGTTAAAAGCAGGTGGGGTTATAGTTTTGGAGTGGTTGGAGCAATTATTTAATAAATGTATGGAAGAGGGTAAGGTACCTAGGGATTGGCAGAGAGCATGCATAGTTTCCTTTGTATAAAGGCAAAGGGGATAAAAAGAGGTGCAAAAATTATAGGGGGATAAGTCTGTTGAGTATACCTGGTAAAGTGTTATGGTAGAGTTATAATTGAAAGAATTAAGAGTAAGATGGGAAAATAGGATAGCAGATGAACAAGGAGGCTTTAGGAAAGGTAGGGGTGTGTGGACCAGGTGTTTACAGTGAAACATATAAGTGAACAGTATTTAGATAAGGCTAAAGAGGTCTTTGTGGCATTTTGGATTTGGAAAGGCGTATGACAGGGTGGATAGGGGGGCAATGTGGCAGATGTTGCAAGTGTATGGTGTAGGAGGTAGGTTACTGAAAGCAGTGAAGAGTTTTTACGAGGATAGTGAGGCTCAAGTTAGAGTATGTAGGAAAGAGGGAAATTTTTTCCCAGTAAAGTAGGCCTTAGACAAGGATGTGTGATGTCACCGTGGTTGTTTAATATATTTAATAGATGGGGTTGTAAGAGAAGTAAATGCGAGGTCTTGGCAAGAGGCGTGGAGTTAAAAGATAAAGAATCACACACAAAGTGGGAGTTGTCACAGCTGCTCTTTGCTGATGACACTGTGCTCTTGGAGAGATTCTGAAGAGAAGTTGCAGAGATTGGTGGATGAATTTGGTAGGGTGTACAAAAGAAGAAAATTAAAGGTGAATACAGGAAAGAGTAAGGTTATGAGGATAACAAAAAGATTAGGATGATGAAAGATTGAATATCAGATTGGAGGGAGAGAGTATGGAGGAGGTGAACGTATTCAGATATTTGGGAGTGGACGTGTCAGCAGATGGGTCTATGAAAGATGAGGTGAATCATAGAATTGATGAGGGAAAAAGAGTGAGTGGTGCACTTAGGAGTCTGTGAGGCAATAGAACTTTGTCCTTGGAGGCAAAGAGGGGAATGTATGAGAGTATAGTTTACAACGCTCTATATATGGGTGTGAAGCATGGGTGATGAATGGTATGCAGGCGAGAAGGCTGGAGGCAGTGGAGATGTCATGTCTGAGGGCAATGTGTGGTGTGAATATAATGCAGAGAATTCGTAGTTTGGAAGTTAGGAGGAGGTGCGGGATTACCAAAACTGTTGTCCACAGGGCTGAGGAAGGTTGTTGAGGTGATTCGGACATGTAGAGAGAATGGAGCGAAACAGAATGACTTCAAGAGTGTATCAGTCTGTAGTGGAAGGAAGGCGGGGAGGGTCGGCCTAGGAAAGGTTGGAGGGAGGGGGTTGAAAGGAGGTTTTGTGTGCGAGGGGCTTGGCTTCCAGCAGGCATGCGTGAGCGTGTTTGATAGGAGTGAATGGAGACAAATGGTTTTTAATACTTGACGTGCTGTTGGAGTGTGAGCAAAGTAACATTTATGAAGGGATTCAGGGAAACCGGCAGGCCGGACTTGAGTCCTGGAGATGGGAAGTACAGTGCCTGCACTCTGAAGGAGGGGTGTTAATGTTGCAGTTTAAAAACTGTAGTGTAAAGCACCCTTCTGGCAAGACAGTGATGGAGTGAATGATGGTGAAAGTTTTTCTTTTTCGGGCCACCCTGCCTTGGTGGGAATCGGCCAGTGTGATAATAAAATAAAAAACTGTACTATACATCTTATGTAAGGAAAGTTGGTGCAGAATTATAAAGCAAACAAAGTTTTGCTTGCATAATTGGTATTTTCCCTCAAAAATTTAAATTCCTCTTAAAAAACTAATGATCAAAGGCATTTTTTTAATATAACTTAGGATCCAGACTAAAAAAAATTGAATCTGGGTAATTTGCCTATTTACCCTTGAAGTAATTAGTAAACATGTAATTACAGTACAGTAATTGATTCTCTAAGCTAAATTTATACAATTTTTGCCATATTCCTCTAGAAATTGCAATGTATCCTTATACTAATTGCAGTCTAGCACATTATCCACAACCCAAGTTGTTGACCTCAGTGTTTAGCGTATGTTATTTGAAAATAAAAATGTGTGTAACCCCTATGGGTTTCGCACCCCCATAAATGTAATAATTCCTCTCGATGCCAGAGATGAACTCTTGATCCAAGGAACTGAGATCTAAGATATATACACCAAGAGGTGTATGCCTACATATAGTGTTTACTTTAATCCCTATTTTAGCAGTTGGAGTTTTCTTGACTAGTGGTGAACAGGTAACATGCAGTCTTAAGGACCCAAGTGTAGTCACTAGGCTTTAGGTCCCATTAACTAACCAATCAACCAAACCTCTCTTCCTTCCTTGGATCAAACCTAACTGCTTCCTATTCCCCATACACTGAATAGCTCCTATTATTATTATTATTATTATTATTATTATAATAAAAAAAGAAGCACTAAACCTACAGAATAGCTCCAATAAGTTTAGCATTTCTTTCTAAAAATGTGATAATTCATGACATTTTAATTTTTAAGTATGTAGGTTTTAAACTTTCATTACAAGCAAAGTGGTCCATGACCCTGAGGAAAGGTTGAGAATAAAGTGGAAAATTAATCTTAGATATGACATGCTAATCTTAGAGTAAAAAACAAAAAAATGCTTGACTAGAAAATTTTAACATTCTTTCCACATTTAATTTTTTTTTTTCTTCAAAACTTCACTAGAAATGCTCCTCACCATGCTGATTATGAGTTGAGGGTCTGTAAGTTGTTCTGACAATCTTCAAACTGGTCATGAAATTTTAATACTTAAATAGAGTTTGATTATGTAAAATTAAGACGTAATTTAGACACGTCATTTGTCTATTCACTAAAAACTTCTGAACATTAATCTTTTAAAAATATTAAACACCTAAGTGCTGGCAAACAGAAGTTAATTAACCTGGACATACAAGGTTAAAACCAATTAAGGACAATCACTGAGGGGATATAAATGTCATGTTATTGAAATTCAAAGAAATCAAATAAATATTTCTTTGCTCATTCTATTCTTTTGAATGAAGGGACACTGCATTCCTTTGTCACTGGCCATCCTACCCTCCCTGAGTGTTACCTGGAGAAAGCAGATAGGAGACCACTTCTGCATAAGTGCCTGCCCTCACCACCTACTCATCATCATTATCACTATCAATGTCAGCTTCTTCATCACCACTAGGAGAAAAGATATTACCAAATGCTAAATTAATTTGTCATGTTTTAACCCAAATGGGCCTAGCATTCTTTTGTAATATAATAATAATAATAATAATAATAATAATAATAATAATAATAATAATAATAATAATAATAATATGCTTTAGTTTAATTGGCACCAAACTACAACTTGCAGTTCAGTCACTCAGTCTTAATATTTTTGTAACAGGACATCTTAGAATTTTAATTGGGTACAGAATAGATTTATATGAAAGCATTACCTTCCAGATGTAAAAAAAAAAGAACAGAATGTCAAGACAAAGTACTGACAAAACTACAACATACCTGAAATGATAAGCACACTTAAAAGTACACTACTAAGTTCTATCTGACAGACAGAGAGAGGTGCCACAATGTAGAATAAAATTTAGATGAAATAGTATGGGATTTCCAAGAAATAAAATGTAAAAGATACTAAAATTTTTTAAAGCATTACCAGAATTATATAAAGGTACTGTACATTACAATTAAAAAATGGGTGCTTTTAACTTCTTCTAAACTTAATTCTAATTCTCAGAAAAGAAATCTAATTTCAGAACAAAAATGACTGTGTTGAAAATGCGGGATGGTTAAAAAAATAGAGTAGAAACATTAACAAAATCACAAACAAAACTGGTACATCAATGTTTTGAACAAGGCATAACATACAAGTTCTACTATAACATCATAAGAAATGGGAACACTGCATTTATGCAATGTAAATAAATGCAACATAAAAGCAACACTGAAAGCAACTTGCCAGTTTTACAGCACATGAACAGACAATAAGACAATGAATTATACCTATTGGAGTCTAACGTCTGTTGGGAGTTAGCAGCCTCTGGTGGAGTGACCAGATACGAGAGGGCAAAACAAAAGGCTTCGCCCGATTCCATCAACTGGTTTGTGCCCAAGTGTTTGTTCTGAAAGTAAATAATAATCACAGATTTACACACAAAAATAAATACCATTGCTATATATTGAGAAATTGAACTGAATGTTTAAAAATTTTTTAACCCTCAAGAGAGGTGGGTCTATCAGCAGACACGTAGGATTCACTTCCATCTTCACCGCTCCAACACTCACTCTGATCTTGCTAAAGTCTCCTTTTTAACACACGAACTTACTCTGACTTTTTAACAGAAGCTAACCTACTGCACTGACTCTGGTGCAGATTTTACTCTTGAACTCTCTCTTACTCCTACTAACCCCTACCCTTGCACATTCCTATCCCTCCCTCCCTGAAGTATGACCCCCTTCAGGTTTATCATTTAATTTGATCATATTATTCAAGGGATGGGGCTGTGATGTCAGTGAGAGGCTAATGAATTAAGAAATTGAACCTGCCCTCCCTTTCCTTGGATTAAATTTCAATGTTTTCCATTTCTCCAAGCACTGTGTAACTCCTATGTGTTTAGTGCTCCCCATAAATATAATAATTAAAATTTCTAGCACATTACCTAATGTTAAAAAAAATTAATGAGAACATTATTACTCTGCAGAAATTACATTAATTCATCTTAAGTACTATCAATAAATCACTAACCACCTGAAATGTTTAATTTTTAAAGGGGTTGACCGGTAAGCCAGCGGAAGGCCTTGGTCAGATGACCAAAAGCTCCAATGGAGGGTCATCATCTAACTAAGACCCGCTTCAGGAAAAAACTTGTCCTCTTTCCTGACAAACCTTACCTAGCCCAACCTAAACTGAAATGTACAAAAAATATATTACAGTATTTTGTAGTTATATCACTTGTTAATGTACAGTAAAAAAATTAGATGCTAAATATATTTTTTTTAATTTGTTTTCAAGGAAGGAAGGAAGGGAGGAAGGAAGGAAGGAAGGCAGGAAGGAAGAAAGGAAGGAAGAGATAAGAGGAAGGAAAAAAGGAAGAAGTAAGGAAGGAAGGTAGGTAAGAAGGAAGGAAGGAATGTAGGAAGGAAGGTAGGAAGGAATGTAGGAAGGAAGGTAGGAAGGAATGTAAAAAGGTAGGTAGGAAGGAATGCAGGAAGGAAGGAAGGAAGGAAAACCCAGACACCTAGACTACCATCAACCTAGGATAACACAATAAAGTCAAAGTGACTTATTTCTATGTGGGTAGTGGGGTTGGGATGAAGGCATGGGTCCCCATGGGCATTGTGGAAGGCAGTGAGGGTAGTGACTGATGGTGGTAATGTGTCATTGTGACAGCAGCCACACCGTGACTCAGCATATTTACAAGTCCACCCACACACCAAACCAGAGGCTTCCAGAAGCTCTCGCAGTTCTAGGAACATGTCCACTGATGCCTAGGCATAATAGAGGCTCTCTTTGCATTGCAACTCACTATTGTAAATACAAAATCTCAATGTACTGTTTGCAAAGACATAAAATAAATAAATAAATAAATAAATAAATAAATCTTTCTTTCTTTCAACACACCGGCCGTATCCCACCGAGCTGGGGTGGCCCAAAAGGAAAAACGAAAGTTTCTCCTTTTACATTTAGTAATATATACAGGAGAAGGGGTTACTAGCCCCTTGCTCCAGGCATTTCAGTCGCCTCTTACAACACGCATGGCTTACGGAGGAAGAATTCTGTTCCACTTCCCCATGGAGGTAAGAGGAAATAAACAAGAACAAGAACTAGAAAGAAAATAGAAGAAAACTCAAAGGGGTGTGTATATATATGCTTGTACATGTATGTGTAGTGTGATCTAAGTGTAAGTAGAAGTAGCAAGATGTACCTGAAATCTTGCATGTTTATGAGACAGAAAAAAGGACACCAGCAATCCTACCATCATGTAAAACGATTACAGGCTTTCGTTTTACACTCACTTGGAAGGACGGTAGTACCTCTCTGGGCAGTTGCTGTCTACCAACCTACAATAGTAATAAACAATAGTAATAAACATTTTTTATTATTGGTTTGCATAAACAAGTTTTGTAAACAATATAATGACATCAATGTTTGTGAGATTATTGTGTTGTATACAACCAGTGAATATATATTGGTCTCATAAACCATAAAAGTTACTTGAAAAATAAAATGTTAAAAAATAAAAGAAAAAATTAAAATTAAATGAACAATTACTGTGCGACCGGCAGTCGGCAGTGTGGAAGCACTGATGTCCATACATGGGTAAAAGATATTGGGGAAACAGGAAAAATAAATGCACCAGCAGTGAACGCAGCTACAATAAATCCTAGCAAACAGAAGTACAATCTATGTAAATACTATGCCTTGGGTATCTGCAGGCATGGTATATCTGGTAAAACAGGTGGGACATGCACCTTTTACCATCCCAAAAAATGCTGCACCCACATGACAACAGGAGAGTGCAACTTCCCTTCTTGCAACTTATTTCACCCAAGAAAATGCTACAATGCATACTGCCAGGCACATCATCTAAAGGGGACTAGAACACACAGACCAGCCAGACTATGGGAAACAAAAGAGAGGAACCACAACCTCTCCAGGGACAGAGGTTTTTTAGGGCCAGAAGGAAAAAAAGACTGGCAAGAAATGACAATAATCCTACAACACCTGAAAACACTTCTGGAGCAGAGGCACAGACATTGGCCTCTACCCCAGAACAACAGATATTAGAGCCAGCAAATAAAACCCCCTAAATTCCACCAATACGACATTTGTCTTTGCAAACATACAGGGTCTAAAGCTGTCAAAAAACAACAAAATTCCTTACATCAAGGGACTGCTCACAGAGTCAAATGCAATGTTTGCAGCATTCACAGAGACCCACATAAAGGATCATTATGACAATGAAATGTGGATCCCAGGTTATAACCTATTCTGATGCGACAGACTAAAGAGGCAACAAGGGGGGTTGGCCTGTATGTCACAGAGTTGCTCATTTGCACAGAACTACTAAACACCTCAAATGATGTAGCTGAAGTTTTAGCAGTAAAGATCGAAAACCAAAACCTTGTCATTGTGGTAGTATACAAGCCTCCAGATGCAACTTCCCAGCAATTCCAGAAGCAGCTTGAGAAAATTGACCACTGTCTGGAAAATCTCCCAACTCCTCCCCCAAACATCTTACTACTAGGAGATTTCAACCTGAGACACCTAAAATGGAGGAGTATAGCAAACAATGTTTTAGCTGAGATCACCCTGGGAGGCAGCTCAGATGAAAATTCACACACACACGAACTATTAAATCTCTGCAACAAATTCACCTTAAACCAGCAAATAGTAGAGCCTACGAGACTAGAAAATATGCTGGACCTCATCTTCACTAGCAATGATAATCTGATACATAATATAACTGTATCACAGACAGTTCACTCAGATCACAACATAATAGAGGTACAGACATGTATGCACAGGGCTCCGAGACCAGCAAAATGTGAGCAGTCATGAAGGTCTCTTCACAAAATTCAATTTCAATAACAAAAACATACAATGGGATCAAGTAAACCATGTCCTAAATGAAACAGGCTGGGAAGATATCCTAAACAACACGGACCTGAACGCCTGCCTTGAAAAAATGAATTCTGTGTTTCTTGAGATCTGCTCAAGACACATTCCATTAAGAAAAAGAAAGAGAAGATGTAAACTAGAAAGAGAGAGACGTTCCCTATACAGACGAAGGCGAAAAGTCACAGAGCTGCTGAGTGGGGTCAATATATCTGAAATACGAAGGGAAGCACTAGTCAATGAAATTGCAAATATCGAACTTAAGCTGAAGGAATCTTATAGGAGACAAGAATCACAGGAAGAACTAAAAGCCATAAAGGAAATTGAAAAATAAAAAAATACTTCTTCTCTTATGCCAAATCTAAGGGACAAACAACATCCAGTATTAGACCCCTACTTAGGCAGGATGGGACATACACAGAGGATAGCCAAGAAATGAGTGAGATGCTAAAGTCCCAATATGACTCAGTGTTCAGCGATCCACTGCCTACTCGAAGGGTCGACAATCCAAATGAATTTTTTATGAACGAAACCCAAAATTTGGTCATCCCAAAACTCTCGGATATTATAACTCCACAAGATTTTGAAGAGGCAATTAATGACATGCCCATGTACTCTGCCCCAGGCCCAGACTTGTGAAACTCTGTGTTCATCAAGAACTGCAAGAAGTCTCTATCTCGTGCCTTCAGCATTTTATGGAGAGGAAGCATGGATACAGGGGTCATCAGACACACTAAAAACAACAGACATATCCCCACTCCACAAAGGTGGCAGTATAGAAATTTGAGAGGGTTCTAAGAAGCAAGATAGCCAACCACCTAGATACCCATCAGTTACACAACCCAGGGCAACACGGCTTTAGAGCAGGTCGCTCCTGCCTGTCCCAGCTACTGGACCTCTATGACAAGATTCTGGATGCTGTAGAGGATAACAAAATACAGATGTACTATACACAGACTTTGCAAAAGCTTTCAATAAGTGTGACCATGATGTAATAGCACACAAAATGCGGGATAAAGGAATAATGGCAAAAGCTGGTAGATGGATCTACAACTTCCTGACAAATAGAACACAAAGAGTAATAGTAAACAGAGTAAAGTCCCAGGCAGCCATGGTAAAAAGCTCTGTTCCACAAGGCACAGTACTCACTCCCATTCTATTCCTCATCCTCATTTCTGACATAGAGATGTAAGCCATAGCTCCGTGTCTTCCTTTGTGGATGACACCCGGATCACCATGGCAGTGGAGGCTTTGTGTACGAGGGGCTTGGGCTTTCAGCCAGCATGCATGAGCGTATTTGATAGGAGTGAATGGAGACATATGGTTTTTAATACTTGACATTCTGTTGAAGGGTGAGCAAAGTAACATTTATGAAGGGATTCAGGGAAACTGGCAAGCCGGACTTAAGTCCTGGAGATGGGAAGTACACTATCTGCACTTTGAAGGAGGGGTGTTAAAGCTGTAGTTTTATAACTGTATTGTAAAGCACCCCTCTGGCAAGAC